CAGATACAGCTGCCACAGGGGCAGCCGCAGATACAGCTGCCACAGGCGCAGCAGCAGATACAGCTGCCGCAGCTGCAGGAACAGCAGCTGCAGGAAGTGCAGCTCCAGCAGGGGCAGCTGCAGGAGGTGCAGCTGCATGAGATACAGCTGCAGGAGGCGCAGCTGCAGGAGATGCAGATGCAGGAGGGGGAGATGCAGGAGGGAGAGATGCAGGAGGGGGAGATGCAGGAGGAAGAGCTGCAGGAGGAGCAGCTGGAGGAGGGGCAGCCACCAGAAGCCCCAGTGGCTGTGGGCACCGTGAATTTGGGCCAGCTCCCCCTACCCCCGATTCCCCCTGTCTTTACAAATGGCACCACCACTGCCATCCTGCCTCATTTCCATCATGCCTTCAGATAAATCGTCTTTAAAAGCAAATTTTTCTGATTGTGGAAGATGTTCTAAGAAGCATTTTAAACATCAGTTATGATACAAGGAAAGATGTAGAAAACAGGAATGGGAGTATGGCGTATTCAGTGATGACTTGTCTTAAGAGAATTCTCGAATTGCATGTATTGTGCCAATCTGTCCTGAGTATTCATGCTTTGTACCAAATTTAACGAGTGCGTGTTCTTTAATCAAACTGCAAATATTGTCATAACCAACATCGAAAATGACAGCTGCTATATATAAGTGTTTGTCATATTGAGTTTAATTGTAAGCCATGATCATCATGTTAACTAAATAACTTTTTATGTGGCACTGCCTAGTATGGAAAGGCTTGGACTTCTCCAAGTTGGGAGAACAACTTTTTTTTTCTTTTTCTTTTTCTTTTTTAATAAGAATATAACCTTTATATGTATGCTATATTACAACTAAGCTGTGTATCTCTCTGTTCAGGGATTTTTCTACCTTTAGGGTTGAACGTAGTTTAGTTACTATTACCATAGCCAACCTGTAGTTTTAGAGAAATAAAATCCTTGTAGAACAATAGGTTCCTCCATTTTTAAGCATTTTAAATGTAGTTTGAATATTTTCCATATGATGCTGCAATGTGAGTTATCACTTCATTTATCTTAAAGACAAAACTGGTTGTCAGTTACATCTGCCTGAAAAAAAAAAATCACTGTGTAACCAGGTTAAGTGGTAAAATAATCCAGGCGTCAGACAAAGACATTGTGCTGACTATAATATCGATTATATTTTTAACAGGAATTTAAAAATATTACTGGAATTTATATATTAAACGAGTTTTCTTTGCCTAGCTTAAACTACTATTCAAGCTGCTTAAGTTCCTAAGTATTGTTTTTAATCACCAATAGATAAGTGCATTTGTAATTCATCAGTTTAAGCCATTATTAGCATTTACTCAAAGAGGATTACATTTTACAATGTAATTGTACCTGTAATCTCTGTCTCTGAAATCTTTCTCTTGAGGATTACATTTTACAATGTAACTGTACCTGTAATCTCTGTCTCTGAAATCTCTTTCTCTTGAATATGGTATCTTATGAGTTTTTGACATGTAAACTGTAACCTTTTAGAAACCTTTGTATTTTGTTTAGAGGTTTTCTTTTCCATAAACATGTATCTTACATATAATAAACTTTACATATCTTGCAATACGGCTTGATTATTTTTCACATAGCTACACCTGCGTCAACATTAAACACTCTGATCAAAATAGACAATGTTCTAACTCCCTAGTGCCCCCTCCTGGTCATTACTTCCCCCACAGAATATAAACTATCGTTCTTGGTCTGCATCTGTTAGAAACTTGACCTTTTGAATAAAATCAGTTATTTCTGATGTATAGGTCAGAATACTACCTACTAGGGTTTAATTCACTCTGGCTACTATTATCCATTTTATAACAGCATTTACCATTAATTTCTATTACAAATTAGAAATTTACTTATTCCTTACAAGGATTTCTTTAGAAAGTATTATGCCTCTTAAATCTGACAGACTAGTTTGGGAGGGCAGAGAAAGGGGAGTGTTATATATGCACATCCCAGGATTACAATAAGTGAGAGAAACTCTGGCCATGACAAAGGGCAAAAGCTAGGCTGAAGCATGTAGAATTAATATAGAGGAACTTAAACTATGGGATCCAGATGGGTTTTCTTGTTTTTCCAGCACCAGGGACAGAACCAATAGCTTCACATGAGCTAGGAAAGCATTCTACCACTGAGCTTCACCACTAAGCCCCAAACTAAGGTCCTTAAACTATAGTGGAGCCAGAGGGAAGGAAACAAGGCAAAATGAGATATAGGGTCCTCACTGGAAGGAATCCAGTGCCCATGCTCTAGACGTCCAAGTCAGTTCCCACATTCCATCCTTCCTCTTGGCAGGAAGCATCCCTCCAGAACAAAGGATTATGGGAGTTTTATCTCACCTCATCTTAAGACCTCCCAAAATCTGTTTATAGAAACATCCACAAATACTTTTACATGGCTTAATATAGTCTTTGGTCAGTTCTGGAATGCACACCTCATGTTCCTCAACATAAATCAATGGTATTTGGTCCCCAAAATTCAAGTCATGAGAGCTTCCGATGTTTTTGCTATACTATTATGGGGGCAACTTGGGAATCTCTTGCTGAAATTTAGGAAAGAAACTTCACTGAATCTTCCCTATTAAAGTTCCCAATGAAGAAAAACAAAGTTGTTGAGCTAAAAAGTATGAGACTAAATATAAATGGCTCTTCAAAAAAAGAAAAAAAAAAAGACTGATGCCTAAGACAGCAAAGAGGAGGAAGAACTGGCTCACCTTCTCCCAGCAGCTGTGTAAAGCCACAGCAAAGAAGGGAACTGGCTCTGATTTGGCCCCAGTAAATGGGATGGGGCCTTTGGTGTTCTTCCACAGGGTGGAAAGTTTTCTACGAACTTTCCTCCTGTGAGTTTCCCCCTAAATATGGTCTGTGTGAGATCTTATGAACAATTCTACATTATATAGGAAGGAACATTTAAAGTAGAAATCATTACTAATGGTAATATTAGGTGCAAATATTAAAGCTGGGTGAGGACAGATTTTATGTAGAAAAGATGCTGGTTAAAACGCAGTATTCCTAGTAAATAAATAACACTAGTATTCCAAAGACTACGTCACAAAAAGTTTCAACTTCCAAAGCAACACTATTAAATGCCTAAGAAATATTTGATAAAAAAAAAACTTCAGGTGAATCTTAAACAGTATCATACAGGTTGATGTGTTTAATGATTTTGTTTTGAAAATTGTGAAGGGAGTAAATAAAGAGGAAAGTTGAAGCTAGTGTTACTTATCCTAAGAGATGCTTCTAGAAGATGGGCATTGACTGTCCTTCCCGTTAGGTGGCATTCCTGGGTACATGACTATCCAGGATGCTGAGTTTCGGGGAGCCAGTCTGAAGGCAGAAAGAAGCGTCATTAGTTTTAGAACATCACTCTTTGCACAATGAGAATGTTAAGCAACAGGCATCTGTAGATTTATAAATGCTTTACACACAATCCGCAATCTCAGGAACTACCTTTTACTGTGGAATGTTTGGAAAAAGAACAAGGCAGTAGCTTTCCAGGTCAAAAGTGAGGATCATTCCCCCTTCCCTCTAACTCAAGATTGAAACACAGAGTGTTCATACTGACCAATAGTTTCAAGAGCATGCATAGAGCTAACCCAGATTGGGACTTGCCCATCATGGATCCATTCTCTTAAACATTGACCAACTATATTCTGCACATTATGTTATCAGCCACACCTGGATTAGGGTGAGTTTTTTTCCTTACCTGGTCTCTAGGAGTTAATCTTTCTTAGAAGATTTACTAAATCCTTGTCTGAGTTTTGCTCCAGAAGTAGGGTCCGTAGCTAATCCTATGCAAACATAAACAGATTTGTTATTATGTCAAAGCAGAACATTCCCAAGGGTGGGGGGAATGATTATGAAATCTCCATCTTGAATTCCAAAGCCTTTTTTTTCTTTTTTTGGTATCAATACCCACTTTCCAACCTTGGACGAGTAATAAGGAAAATGGGGCCTGTCTCAGGTGCTTCTCCCCACTGTCCCCTAGCCCTTTGTTTTCCTATGAACTTTGGACTGCCACCTTAGGGGACTTGCCATTTATACAATATGACCTCGGCATCCCTCCCCACCCCCTTCCTGAGCTTTCAAAATGTACCCAGAATATTTCATGTCTTCACATTTCTTGTCTTCACAGTTCTTCACCAGCTCTCAGTTAGGGTTTGCTAAGCCTTATGGAAGCACAGGATACCTTCCCTCACAGGGGCTATTCATATCTTTGAACTTGTGACAGAAGTACTGTTCTATGCCTCTGTGCCCTGCAGAATGGCTAGGTATCGACATGTAGAAATTTCTGGATCTGAGCACAGCATACTGTAGTCTGGGTTTGACCACATGGTATGAGACAGGATTTTCAGAGCAATCATTCCTTATAAAAAGAAACAGATCCTGGTATCTTAGAGGCATCCTTTCTAATTATTCAGTGTTTTATAAAGAAGTAGCAGTAAGGAAATTATGAATCAAACAATCAGAGAATACAGAATAGAAGAAGCTTTCAGTGTTAGTTTTACCCAAGGACATACAAAACTTTTGCCAAAGAATCAGAAACTGATGCTATGATCCTCACTACATTTGCTACAGAATCAGCTATGTAAGAAGGGGTATACAAGAAGGGGTATACAGGGTATACAAGAAGGGGTATACAGTGCTTAACTTAATAAACCTAATAACCTAATAAAAACCCACTGACTCCAGAGGCAGGGGCAGGGGGAAGCAGAGTCCACAGCAACAAAGCTGAACAATTCAATTTTACTAACTATGAAGCAACATAGGTGTAGATTCCAGAATTACATTTTCTCAGCAACTTTGGTCTCTGTATAAAGGTGCTGGGGAAGGAATGTGGTGATGGCACCTCTTCACCCACCAGTTGCTCTGACACAAAAGCCTTGAGAAAACAGCCACCAGTAACTGCTTGCTGACTGAAAGTCATAAACTCTTTTCCCATCTGAACATCAGAATCTTTGTGGGAATGCAAGAGGAGCCACTTTTTTTTTTCTGAAACTATTTCCTAATGTTATCTATAGCCTTGACATTTGTATTCTTGGACCCAATTTTCCCAAAGCAGATGGAGCTTGGGGAAAAGCCCTGCTGCTTCCTATTAAGTTGCTTGTCCAGATTGCTTAATCCTCATCTGGAAAACAGGGATGTGAACATACACTGACCTGCTCATATTAGTATGAGGATTAAATGGCTTTGTCCATGGAGTGCTTGGAAGAGTGCGTAATGTAAGTGGGGCCACTGTCCATGAACTGGGGTCTTATTTAATATAGCAAAAATGCAGAAGCAATCTACCTGCTCAATATTGGGAAAATAGCCAAGGGAGTTGCAATGTATTCCTGATATGATACTGTTTTTAAAGAGATTCTTTTACTATAGGGAAATAGTCAAAATGCATTAAGTGCCCCAAAACAAAAATGTTCCTAGAAGGAAAACAAGAGAGGAAGAATATGAATAGAAATAAGTTAGGAAAAAAAGGTCAAAGTGAACAGTGCTTAGGGTGGCAGCATCACGAATGATTTTTAATTTTCTTTATAACTTTCCCTCCATTTCCTAATATCTTTTACAGTAAGCTAGAATTTCTTACATAATTCTTAAAATGCTATTTCTCAAAATAAATTTTGGCAGGCTCACTTAAAGTGGCCAGAAACAAAAAGTTTCTAGGTCATCATAATTGCCTGACTCACACAGATGTGCCTGACGCAGAGTGACAGAGGATGGGACAGCAGCATTGACAACAAATGATGCTTTGTTAAGCGTCTCTGCCCTCCCTGCTCACATGCAGGTCTTCCATTTCAACTTTAGTTTCTCTTTACACCACAACTCTTTCCTGTGCTTTGGCCAAACAAACTGTATGTTCCTAGAGTGTGGCCTCACATTCACATTCTCCATCTTTGTTCATTCTTCAATTTTTCTTGTCAAAATCTAGCTTATCCTGAAATCCATCCACTTCCACAGAGCCTCCCCCTCTCTGAGACTGCTACCTCAGTCATGAAGCCTCCTGGGCAACACTGAGCTCAACAACGAGCAATGTCCCTTAGGACGTTTCCATCTCATCATTAAATATTAGGCACCATTACTGACAGTTCCCTTAGATTTTTAAGGCTCCATAGGCAGAGGAAACAATCCTGCCTGGTAACTGTTGGAGGGAGGACTCCTCTTGAGCACCTGGGTTAATGATTTACCAATTTCACATGCTACCATGTGCTCACATGTTAGACTTGCCTTCTCATGAGACCCTGGGATAAAGAAGGCCTGTGACTTACACACGTGTACCTTCCCGACTGAGAATTTAGAGCTATTATCCATGGGAGGTGCTACATGCTTACTTTGCTAAAGAGAATTGAAAAACAAAATCCAGAGTTTGGGAGGTTGCTATGGCTGAGATATGGTGGGGATGTGACGCGCCCCCCATTCCCAAGTGTTCTGGTGTTGGAAGCTGGATCCCCAGTGTGGCAATGTTAAGAAGTGGTGGGACCTTTACAAGGTGGAGTCTAAAGGAGAGGTCATTAGGGGTATCATCCTAGGAAGGGGTTAAGTAGTTCTCACGGAACCTCAGTTCCTGTGAGAGTGAGCTGTTAACAAAGGAGCAAGTCTGGCCCTACCCTCTATTTCACTTCCTTCCTCCTCATGCCATATCTCCCTCTCGCATATGTATCTGCCACTGTGATGACATCCACTGGGGTCCTCACCAGTATCAATGTCATCCATGTTGTTTGGACTTTCAGCCTCAGAACTGTGAGACAATAACTCTCTTTATAATGTATCCAGCTTGAAGTATTTTATTATAATAATGGAAAAAAAGACTAATATGGACATTAACTACCAGCTGACTGAAAGACAACAATTTAATTTATGTGACATCAAAAATGGCCATGTGATTAAAAAGGAGAGTAACACAAAGTAAACTACTGATTGTCCATTTAGAAATAGCAAAGCCCAATAACAATTTTAAAAAGATTTTGTCTTTGTTTTGTGCTGCTATAACAAAATAGGAAGACTGGGAAATTTTATAAAGAAAAGATGTTTATTTCTTAAAGTTCTGGAAGCTGGAAAGTCCAAGCTGAAGGGGCCCCCAGGTATCTATCTGAAGAAGATCTTCTTCATTATGTCATCCCATGGCAGACAGCAAAAGGGAAAAGAGCATGCACCCAAAAGAGGGGAAGAGAGACAGAGCTTCGTGACCAAAATACCTCTCAAATATTCTGCCTCTAAACACCAAAGCAATGGAGACTTTGGAGGTTGCATTCAATCCATAGCATTTTGCCACAGCACCCTAAATCAGTATCCTCCTCCTTCCGTGCAAAACATAGCCATTATGTTCCAATAGCCCCCAAATCTTAACTCATTTCAGCTTCTAACTTAAAAGCTCAAAGTTCAGAATCTCATTGAGATCAGATATGGGTGAGTCTCAAAGCATGATTCATCTGGAAAGCAAATTTCCTTCCAGCTGTGAGATTACAAAATTAAACAAATTATCTACTTCTGAAATACTTAGGATGGACATCCCACTACAAAAGGGAGAAATAAGAAGAAAGGGATAACTGCTTCCCAATAGTCCAAAACCCAAGAGGGAAAACAATATGAAATCTTGAGACCTAGAATAATCTCTTTGGCCCTCATGTCCCACGTGATGGACAAACTGGAAAAAGAGTAAGGTCTGGGCCCCTGAGGTCTCAGGCACTACCTCCTTCCCTGGTGGAGTTTTGCTGGGCTCGTTCACCCAGAAACTCTCATGGGCTGGAATCCCATGCCCCCAGCTTTCCCAGGCTGGACTTACTTGCTGGTGGCCCTATAGCTCTGTGGTCTCAGAGAAACATTCAAACCACAGGAGATCCTCATGTTACAAATAGACCCTCCTATTCACACAGACCAGAAAAAGGAACATGTGTGACTGACTCATGCCCAGGCCAGGTCACATTAGTGTATTACTTGAGGGTCTTCTCTTTGTATTGAGCTATGGATATTTAGGTTTTTTCCTTGGGAACTATCCAAGGCTCCCCCCCAAAACTTGAGATTGCCCAGGCACATGACTTCTATCTCTGCTCTATTAGCTCTAAAACCCCTTTCGTAGCTCAGACTTGGGCATAACCCACTGGGAACTGGACAGCCCACCTCCTATCTATTTGGCAAAGAACATTCCATAGAAAACCTTTGATGTCCCCCATACAAATAAAGCAAGCGTGGGCTCCATTTTGCGTTTTTTTTAGTGTGTAAGCTCAATCCCTAAGATCAGCTAGTCCAGTCCAGCCCCTACTTTTTTTTTTAGTTGTTGATGGACATTTATTTATTTATTTTTATTTGTACGTGATGCTAAGAATTGAACCCAGTGCCTCCCTCACATGCTAGGCAAGTGCTCTACCCAAGACGCAACCCCAGCCCCTCTTCCCACCACTTTTAAAATTACTTTCTGTGTCCTGTGTTTTTTGTACCACTCAAACTTTCTTAGCTTTTATTCCTCAGCCAGCCCATTCCCACCACTTGTGGGGGACGTAGGCAGGAGTGAAAGGCAATCAGTGCTTTTCTCTAAGTCTAGAGAACCAGCTCCCATTGATGTGCATCTGTTTCCCCCAGCATAGCTCCAAACAACATGTAATTCCAGGGATTTTATTTCCAGGTAAGGCCCCAGGAAAGAAGAAATTACTGAAACATTTTAAGACTGATAAGGGCTAAATTAACATGTCAACTATATTCAAATGTCAATAATTTAATGAGAAATAAGATTCCAACTTTCTCCCATATATTTTATTCCAGAAGGACTTGTTGTGTTAATAGAAGGCTTTATTTGGATTATGAGGATCTGCCATGGTTTAAATGTGTCTCCTGAGACTCCAGAACTGTAGGGCCACCAGCATACATTTCCAGCCTGGGAAAGCTGCAGCCATGAGAATGCATATGAGCCAAGACAATTCTAAACAACAGGGACAGAGTAGTGTATTAAAAACAAGACATAACAGACAAATCCCTGCTCTCTTAAAAATTAAAATTACATTCGTTTTTTTTTTTTTTTGGCAGGAGGGGAAAGAAAATGAAATATATATATTGAATATTAGAAACACTAAATGGTATGGACACAAAAACTACAATGGGAACTGGGGAGGCCTCTGTTACTTTTAAATACACAGGTTGGGGAAATCCCACTGGGAAAATGAAACTTCAGCATAGAATTGAAGCTGGTGAGCAGTGTAGATTGGTGGCACAGCAGAGGAAGCAGCCAGGTATACTGTGGTAGGAGTATACAGGCCTGTTTTGTTCAAGGATTAACAGAGGCCATGGCAGCTGGAGCAGGGTTGAGAAGAAAGAGTAGAAAGCAAGGTTAGACGGTATTACAGAAGCTAGTATATGCCATTTGAAGAAACTGGCCTTTAACCGAGCAAGAACACAGTGGTTATAAACTTTCAGTAACTAATCAAGAGCAAACATTCCATTTGCTTAGATCTGCTAATCTGTTTTCTGATGTATCAAAATGATGTCATAATTTTCTGCTTCACATCACATGCTGACACAAGACTTGTGAGTCCTAATTTAGAGCCTTTTTCCTTATGCATTGCTGCCACTTTAAAGAAATTAATTTTCCAAGGGCAGAATTTCTTCCCTGATTTTCAACAGTACACTAACATTCTGTCTTTTCTTATTATCAACTCTCTCCAAGCTCAACAGATAAGAGATCAACGGTTCTAGACATGTGGGGCTAGGGTCAGATTCAACTTTGCACACTGTCAAAGTGATCCAATCCTATTAAGCTTTGACTTCAAAATTAAAGGAGTGCTTTTCCCCCCTTTAAGCATTACCATATATTATCTGAAAATAAGAAATCATAACAAAAATTGTCTTTTCTGAAAGATACTAATCATTATACTTTAGAAAAAAACGCATGTTAGTAAAAGTTTTACCAAACAAATCACATACAGATTGAATAATTTTTTTCTTAGTGAAAACCCAAATCCAGTTCATTGTTTCATTTTCACAGATCAGGAGAAACTAATAATCTGTCAGAATTCTGGGAAAATGGCAGAGCAATAATCACCAGGAAATTTCCCTTCCCATCTAAATAACAACCACACTGGCAGAATCTGAGTGAGGTAACTATTTTGGGACTCTGAAGTCTATGAAGGCTTGCAACTTAGAGGAGAAGTCTTGGACAGTAAAGTGCAGTTATAATTTCATCAATTTCAACTTTTAACACAGTAGCAATTACACATCCTCCCCACCCCTTGCCATGTGGTAGACAGCTGTGCACATGTCCTTGAATCAATCTGCACTTGGCTTATGGGAGGCAGGGTGGGCGATAAGGATACTATTCTCCAAATATTAGAGATTTAGGTGCTGATCTTCTGTTCTGACAGCTGAATGTTGTTTCTGATCAAAGAGGTACACAAAAAGGCAGGTGGCCACTTTTGTTGCATATCCCACCCCACCCTGGCTGCAATCCTTTGGTCCTCTAGTTGAAGGGACACACTTACAGGGGACTTACAGAACCATGTTCACCCTCCTTAATTTTTTTCTTTTTTCCCTTCTGTGGAATTCGATATTTGAAACTAGCACATTCCAAACAACTGCATATACAGGAAAATTGGAAAGTGACTGCATATGCCCAGGGAATAGCCCAAGCTCAGAAAAGGCCTGAGAAGACCTACGTTTACATTTCAGAATGATTGTTTGCACAGTCAAAACAATTAAAAGAAAAATAACAAAAATCATCAAACCCTGGGGAAGGGGGAACATCTAATTTCCAGGGTTATCACATTATTAGATTCAAATGTCCAGTTTTCAACAAGATCACAAGATGCAAGAAAATAAGAAAGCAGGGCCATTCATGGCAGGAAAAAAATCTATAGAAACTGTCCTTAAAAAAGACCTGATGAAATCTGGCCATAGTGGAGTACACCTGTAATTCCAGCAACTCAGGAGGCTGAGCTGGAGGACTACAAGTTTGAGACCAGCTTCCACAACTTAGTGAGACCCTGTCTTGAAATAAAAAATGGCTGGGGATATAGCTCAGTGGTAGAGCCCCCCTGAGTTCAATTCTTAGCATTATTAAAGACAAAAAAAAAATCTGATGACAGATCTTCTAGGGAGATCTGGCAACAAAGACTTAAACAACTGTCTTAAAGATGATCAAAGAACTAAGGAAGATGTGGAGAAAGTCAAGAAAACGATGTATGGAAAAAATGGAAATAACAATAAAGAGAGAATTCCTAAAAAGATACCAAAAATAAATTCTGGAAGTAAAAAATATAATTAAAACAAAAGAAGTTACTAGGGGGACTCAAGGACACAGTTGAACAGGCAGAAGACAAAGTCAATGAACCTGAAGATAAGACAATGGAAATTATGAAGTCAGAGGGCGAGAAAGTAAAAAGATTGAAGAAATCAGAACAGAGCTTAAGGGATCTTGGGTTACCATCAAGCCAAACAACATATGCGCTATGGGAACACCAGAAAAAGAGAAAAGGGCAAGGAAAATGTTTCTTAAAAACAATGGCTGAAAACTTCCCAAATTTAATGAAAGTCAACATTATAAATGTTCAAGAAATACAGTGAACTCCAAAAGCAAGATAAACTCAACAAGAATCATACCAAGACATATTCAAAACTTCAAAAAACAAAAAATCTTGAAAGCAGCATGAGAAACGCAACTCATCACATATAAGGGATCCTCCATAACACCATCAGCAATTTTTTACATCAGATACTTTGGAGGCCAGAAGAGAGTGGGCCATATAGACAACGTGCAAGAAAAGTGGGTGGGGTGGGCATGGAAACCTCTGTCAACTAAGAATCCCATATCTGGATTAAAAAATGATGGAGAAATTAAGACATTTTCATATAAACAAGAGCTAAGGGAGTTGTTAACATAAGATCTGCCTTGAAATAAATGTTCCAGGGAGTCCTGCAGGGTGAACTGAAAGGACTCTACACAGTAACTCAAACCTATAGGAAGAGATAAATGTAAATGGATTAAACCCTCCAATCAAAAAACAGAGTTTGGCACAATGGACAAAGCATGATTTAACTATAAGCTGTTTATAAGAGACTCACTCTAGATGCAAAGACACAAGTAAATTGAAAATGAAAGCGTTATGATTTGGATGTAAGGTGTTCCTCTTACGTGTGAGACAATGCAAGAAGGTTTGGAGGAGAAATGATTAGGTTACAGCATTAAACTAATCAGTGAATTAATCCCTGATGGGTTAACTAGTGGTAACTGGAATCAGGCGGGCTGTGACTGGAGAAACGGGTTCATTGGGGGTGTGACAATGGGGTATATATTTTGTATATGGATAGTGGAGTCTCTCTCTGCTTCCTGATCTCATGTGAATTGCTTCCCTCTGCCCCAATCTTTCACCATGATATCAGTCTCACCTCGAGCCCTGAGGAATGGAGCCAACCTTCTATGAACTAAGACCGCTAAAACCATGAGCCTCTAAATAAACTTTTCCTCCTAAAATTGTTCTAGTCAGATCTGTTAGTCATAGCAGCAAAAAAGCTGACTAAAACAGAGAGGATGGTAGAAGATATAATATTGCAAAATAGCAATCAAAAAGAGTAAGAGTGACACACTAATATTGTATAAAACAGGATGTTATATATTAATAAAATGCTGAATACAGCAAGAAGATATTACAATTATGTACCTAATTATAGACCATCAAAATATATGAAGCGAAACTCAACAGAATTGAAGGAGAAATAAAATTTCGACAATTATAGAGACCTCAATTCTCTCAACAAAATTTCTGTCAGCAACTGGACAGGGATAAGAAACGGAGAATTTAAACAACACAATAAGCATACCAGATCTAACAGATATATACGAAACACTCTATTCAACAACAGCAGCATACACATTCTTCTCAAGTGCACACAAGACATTTTCCAGAATAGACCACATTAGGTCATAGGTTAAGTCTCCATAAATTAAAAGTGATATGTACCATACAGAGTGTTTTCTTTAACCCCAACAGGATGAAGTTTGAAATCGATAACAGAAGTAAACTGAAATTAAACAAAACACTGTTAAAGAGCCAATGGATCAAATAAGAACTCACAAGAGAAATTATTAAATACTTAGAGATGGATGAAACTGAAAACACAACATATTAAAACTTGTGGGATACAGTGAGAGCAGTGCTAAGGGGAAATGTATAGCTGTAAATGCATACATTAAAAAAATAAGAAAGGGGCTGGGGATGTGGCTCAAGCGGTAGCGCGCTCGCCTGGCATGCGTGCGGCCCAGGTTTGATCCTCAGCACCACATACGAACAAAGATGTTGTGTCCTCTGAAAACTAAAAAATAAATATTAAAATTCTCTCTCTTTCTCTCTCTCAAAAGAAAAAAAAAAGAAGAAAAAGCCTACAACCTAACTTTGCAACTTAAGGAATGAGAAAAAAAAAAAAACTAACCTAAAGCTAGAGGAAGGAAGCAGATAATAAACATTAAGGGAGAGATAAAATTGAGAACACAAAAATAAGGAAAATAAAATCAGTAAAAATCAAAAGTTGCTTCTTTGGAAAGACAAAGAAATCAACAAGCCATTAGCTACATGGATTAAGAAAAAAAGGGTTCCAATTACTAAAGTTACAAATGAAACTGGGGATATTACTACCCTATTCTACAGAATAAAAATAATTTCATGAGAATACTATGAACAATAATATTGCAACAAGTTTGACCTTGATGAAATGGACAAATTCCTAAAAATGCAAAATATACTATGACTAAATTATGAAGAAATAAAAAAATATGAACAGACATAAATAGCAAGGAGATATATCAGGAATCAAAAAAACTGTTGATAAACAAAAGCTGGACCTGATGGTGTTAGTGGTGAACTCTACTGAACATTTAGAATTGCAAACTAAATTCAGCACCATATAAAAAGAATTATACAACAGGACCAAGTATGATTTATTCTTATAATACAAAGATAGATGTATGAAATCAATGTAGTATACCTTAATAAAATGAAGAAGAAAAATTACATTTTCGTATCAACTAATGCAGAAAAAGCATTTACAAAACTCAGCATCCTTTCATGATAAAAAAAAATACTCGACAAACCAAGAATAGAAGGAAATAACCCGAACACTCTAAAAATCTATAAATGAAAAACACACAGAATATTTTCTTTCAATATAGAAAAAGAATTTTTTAGCCAGAACAATTAGTCAAGTAAAATAAACAAACACCCAAATTGGAAAGGAAGTAGTAAAATTGTCTCTTTACAGATGCAGTGGTATGTAGAAAACCCTAAGATTTTATCAGAAAAAAAAAGTTGTAACTAATAAATCCATCAATGTAGCAGTATACAAAGTTAACACACATTAGTTCCTTTTCTAGATACTAACAATGGACAATTTGAAAAGGACATTATGAAAACTTCAAGTAGCATCAAAAGAATAGACTACCAATTCCAATGATATGAAAACTTGTACAATAAAAACAATACAAGCCAGCTAAAAGAAATTAAAGACACAAGTAAACTGATACATATCCCATGATTATGGATTGGAAGATTTATTATTGCCAACATGCTAATGCTACCTCTCAAGCAATCTACAGATTTAATGCAATTCCTGACAAAATTCTAATAATCTTTTTTCACAAACCGGAAAGTCTGTCTTAAAACTCATATAGGGTTTCAAGAGACCCTGATATATCCAAAACAACCTTGGTTATATCTTGTAGAGCTCACATTTTCTGAAGTAAATACTACCGTAAAAAGATGATGTGGTACTGGCAAAAAAGACATCCATAAACCAATAAAATAAAGAATCTAGAAATAACTTGCATATATGGTTCAAGTGATTGTGACAAGAGTGCCAAGACCATTTGATGGACAGGGGACAGTCTTTTAAACAAATGGAAAATTGGATATCCACATGCGAAAGAATGGAGTAGAACCTTTAGCTAGAACAATATTTAAAAATCAACTCAAAATGGGTCAAAGTGTAAACATAGAACACACAACTATGAAACTTAGGAGAAAATATAGGGGCAAATCTCCAAGATCTTGGATTAGACAATGATTTCTTGAACATGGCACCAAAAGTGCAGGCAACCAAAGAAAAAATAGACAATTTTTAAAAATTTGAATCTAAAGACAGTATCAACAGAGTAAAAAGGCAATTCACAGAATGGAAGAAAATATTTGTAACTCAAGCATCGGATAAAGGTAAAATCCAGGGTATTAGAAAATTCCTAAAACTGAGCAACAAAAAACAAGCAACTAATGAAAAAATGGGCAAGAGCCTAGAATGGACATTTCTCAAATGAATATCTACAAATCACGAACAAGCCCTTGAAAAGATTCTTAGCAATACAGATCACTAAAGAAATGCAAAAATAAAACTACAATGAGATACCACTTCATATCCATTAGGGCAGCTACTATTAAAAACAACAACAACTACAAAAAAAACCAGAAAATAACAAGTGCTGGTGAGGATATCGAGAAAATGGAATCCTTGTGCAGTGTTGGTTGAAAACTGAAATGATATAGCTGCTGGAAAACATTATTGTGGTTCTCTAAAAAAAAAACCAAAAACATCCAGGCATGATGTGCACCCTCCATAATCCCAGGAATTGGGAGACTAAGGCAGAAGGATCACAAGTTCAAGGCTAGCCTCAGCAACTTAGGCCCCAAGCAATTTAGCAAGATCCTGTCTCTAAACAAACAAAAAACTAAAAAAAGCCTGTGAATATCTCTATGGTAAAGCACCCCCAAGTTCAATCCCCAGCAGTATAAAAAAAAATGTATACCTCAACTCAATTTTTAATCCATGTGGACTTTTAAAGTCCATAAGGAACTTAAAACTAATAACAAAACTTTCCATGCTGCTACTTTTTTTTTTTTTTTTTTACTGTGTGACAGTAAATTCTTATTCTAGTTCTGAGAATACCTTCAAAATATGACTTCTGATCAGGGGTGCCACTATGGCCATGAAATTATCCATCCTGCCTTGGAAGTACATGTTGACCATGGAGAAGGCTGCCACATTTATTAATGCCGCTTAAATGGAGAGGGGATAGCATGGTATATACCTCATCCAGCCTGCTGGTTACCAGCTGTGTGCCTCAGAAAACTAACTTACCCTCTTCAAACCTCCTTTTCCCATTCTACAAAACGCTGAGTGAATTAAGTGAAAACACATTGGGAGGACGAAGGGAAATGGGCTGGCACAAACTCAGTACTGTCATGGTGGCCAGGCTGTGCAGCTACTTTGATGAAATTACTTATTTCTAGAAAGAAAATCCTCTATTTTTAACACAGCACCTGACATGCCATCTATTCTCAATGTTTTCAGTTTTTAGAGACTGGAAGAACAATAGTTGTAGATTCCAATTGCTGCAAGGGGATTGGACTTTGTACATTGTCATAAGTTGTGTAATCCTGATAAATTAAGAAATATTCCCTCTTGGCAAATAAGCTTTAACCTCAAACAAACCCACACATTTTTTGTATCCAAAAGCAACACTGGATGTCCTGTTAGCTTTTGCCAACTATGGAGGAATCCCAAAGCCAATGAGGGCCCTCTCTGACCCCATCACTGGAAAGCTAAAGTAAACACTCTGACTTACCTGACCTGGTTGGGACTCCATTTGTGGTATCCAGGGCCCTGTTCTGCAGCAAAGCTCCCACAGCACTGGTAACAGTTGGTTCTTTTTTGGGACTCACCTGAGCCCTGCCCTAGAGAGAGGGAGGGAGAGACGGAGAGCACAGTTCTATAACCACAGATACCATATGCCAGAGGCTGTGTCCTTTAACTCATCTGCAGGAACCCCCTGCATCCAGGTAAGGGAACAAGCACACCCTACACCTCAGCTTGGATCCTATCCTTTTTTAAAAAAAAAAATTTATTTGTAGACAGACACAATGACTTTATTATTTATCCTTTTTATGTGGTGCTGAGGATTGAATCGAGTGCCTCACATGTGCAAGGCGAGTGCTCTACCACTGAGCCATAACCCTAGCCTGGATCCTGTCCTTCTTGTAGGTGCTCAAAGCCACATTTGGGTTTGGAGTTTTCTTTCCATAATCAAGCCCTTGTGGTTGTTGGTGGTAAGCTTATTCTATAAAATCAGGTGTACAGAGACATAAGAAACTACTAAATGTCAATAAGAACATGGTTATGGAACATCATGTTTTTTCATTCCACTTGAAAATAATTTTGTTTTCTAACATGAATAGAGACGAAGAACAGAGATGGGCAGGCAGCAAATGTTTTAAGCATGGCATTCCAACACCCCCAGCCATATCTACACCTGCAGAGCAGCCACAGAATGGTTAGATGAACACAAAATAAGAACCCAAACATCCCTGATGAGCTCCTCTTTATCTCACAACTGATGCACCTCCCGGTCCCATAGAAACTACAGTAGAAAGATGACCCGCTACTCAGAGTGTTCTCACCCAGGCAAGGACGGCCATGAGATGGTAGCAGGTAGCTCAACCCCATCCAAACCAAAGAAAGCAATTCTTAGAGGCCCATATTGGTCTCTTTTGGTTAAGGGTATGACACATTTTAAAGATGATTATGTTTAAAATAGAAACACATTGCTGCTGTGCCATTAACAGCCCTTCAAAACTGAAACATCCCCTCCCTTCTTGTCCCATTTCTGAATAAGCTTCACTATTAGGCAAGGCCACAAGTAGTGACGCTGGCATAAGGGAAGCAGACACTGCCATTCAGATAGACTGGAAAGCAAGCAAAGGAATGCAGAAAGCAAGCGAGCTTTCTGCTGTGTTCCCAGTCACCCCACTTAGCTCTGGAAAATAAGGAGAGGAACAGGGCCAAGTCACTGGTTACACTCAGGACAGCCAGCTGGCTTTCTTCAGGAATAAAAACCACTTCCGTTCACCACTTCTCTGTGCCTTCTTTGGTCTCACTAATGCCAACTGACCTCGTGGACTGGTTAGAAGAATCACTTGCAGAAATGTTACTAGCCCTCTACTGCTTTACAAGGCGGAGGGGGAGTTCATACTTACACACTGTTCCAAGTGTAGGTTGAACTCAAGCCCAAAGCAGTTACAGCCCTCCCAAATTGGGTGCCAACCCTAAGGAGAGGAAAGGGCTTCTGCAGAGAGGAAGGGTAGAGGAACCCTGGATGAACACACTGATCTCGGCTGTCTATAATCCTCCTGCAACTCAGCAAGGCTCCCAGGCTCAAGCCCATCGTACAGATCGGAATGAGTCTCAGAATTTACCTACAAACAATGGACTGCAGAACTGAGGTCAAACCCTGAGTACTGACTGCAGAGTCCTGGCTCTTTCAACACTGCACTCACTACTCTCCAGGCTCCCTCATCTGTAAGGGCTGAGTCTCTAAAATTGTATTTACGACCACCAGCTCATGCACCCCCGCCCATGGCAACACACCACAAACCCTCCCGCTCCTGTGCTCCTTTAGCCAGATTGTTTAGGTTGAGCATCCCTAACCCCCAAATCTGCCATCTGAAATGCTCAAAAATCAGGAAGTTTTGAGCACCAATATAAAAACCACCACAAGTGGAAAATTCCACATCTAACCTCATACGATGTGCCAGTCTAAACACAGACATGTGAAAAATACCTTCAGGCTCTGTGAGATGAATATGAGCATATATGAATTGTGAATTAGATTTAGGGGTCCCCCCAAGATATCTCATTGTGTGTATGCAAATACGCCCCCCAAGTTTAAAAAACCTGAAACACTTCTGGTCCTAGTCATCTCGGATAAGGGGTACTCAACCTGTATTATGAACAGAAGCCCACTTTTACACTAGAACCCAATCAGCAATAAATCCACCCTGGCCCCCATCATTCCCCTTCGTTCTCTTAATCCAGACCCTGATTTTTCCCATTGCTGTGGCTCCTTCCTGGTCTCCCACAATCTGTCTTGGACAGTAATTGCAAGAATAACCTTTCTAAAAAGCCAGTTGTATGTCACATTAATTTCCACTGTTCAACTAGTCTACCTATGGGATGATGCATGAGGCCACTAGTAGACAACCAGATGGAAAGCCAAGAAAACCAGTTTGCAGAGAGGAGGCAGAAGCACAGCAAGAGGGAGCACTGGGACGGACAGTGGGAATGAGGACTTCCTAGGTACCCTGGGATTTCCAGTTCCTGTTTTTGGGCCCTGGGCCTTGCTGTCCTCAGATTTTAATGCCTCTGTTTGCTCAGTCCTCTTGTTCCCTAGTCCAAACTGGCTTGAATTAAAGTCCTTCTAGATCAGCTGTCCACGTTGCCTGTGCCATCCTGTCATTTCCCCACAGACTTTGGGTGGCATCTCAGGCCAGACATTTTTTGCACCCTGTCCTTCCCTCCAATTCTGAGCTGGGGAGCTCATTTTCACACTTAAAAGATAATGTTTGCTTACCTTCGAAAATGCCCAGGAATCCCAGGGGCATCTCCTCCACAGTCCTCCTACATACATCAGTAAAAACACTCTTGTATTGTATTGTTTCTAAGCCCCCTACTTTGAATTACAAATATCTGATCAACAGTACCTGGCATGGTGTCTGGTATACAGCTGATATTGAGCCACTCCCTGATCGATGAGGAGAGAGAGCCCAGAATCATAGTCTATGGAATACACTAGTGTTGGAAATTGTCCCATCCCCATGAGATACAGGATTTAATGGAAAGCTTTCTAAACATGTTTCTGCTCTTAAAGTATTCAGACCAACTTAATATGTCTCTTGCTGGCTGACTTATGGAAACCAATAGTTTGTGAAACTATTGGTTTCCATGCTGCACTGTGATTTAGGACCTTTGATGTGTATGGAGCTGTGTGCTGACTCCAATTGTGAGGTTATAATGGTATTGTTATCCAGCTCAGGTTGTCATTTTACATATTTGTATGTATTTGTAACAGCTGCTTCCATTCACCCACATACTTTAACTTGCTGGTTCTGTGGCCTTAAACAAAAGGCTGAAGATATCTCTCCTCTACAGATGAGAATGTAAACTTACAGAGCATCTTCCTGTGATTCTCCACCCATGCCCCCAGGCCACTTCCACTCAGTTCTATTCTGGGTGGTTTAGGCTGATAATCTCCAACAGATAAATAGGGGTTTAGCATAATGCCACATAAACACATTTTATATATTCCAGTCTTTATCCTAAGAAGCTTTGAGCACTTTAGAAATATTTTTTTTCCACAATACCCCAAGGTATTGCTGGCTAGAAAGCATGCCTTCCAAAAGAAGAAACACCCAGGGGGATGAGTGACAGTAATCAGATCTCTTGATCCTTACACTTCTTAGAATGGGTATTTGAGGTTCTTGAAAATTCTACCTGCTTGCCCCAGGCATGCAAGGACACAAAGCCAACACCTGGGGAGAGATATTTACCTGAGCTCTGGATGCCAATTTGGCTGCTGTCTGAGCTGGATCAAAGACTTTTCGAGAAGACTGATCCTTGCAGAAATTTATATGTCGCGTGGCTGCAGTTTCATTAAACCTCCTCATACAATATGGGCACTGAATATAATCTGAATGTAGAGATAGAAACAAGTGGTAATTAATGTTTCAAAACACTTATGGAATGGACTATATGGAATAAATAGAATGTGAACTCTGCTCCAACAAGAAAGGACAAGGTCCCCAACTCTGGCTTGAGATAGCCTATTCCAGAAAGGGAAGACTTGAAAGGGTTCAAATTAAAAAAAAAAAAAAAAAAGAAAGAAAAGAAAAAACATAATAGGGAAAGTTTTTACTAGTGAGGCACTCATTTCAATAAGAATGTGCCCTTAAAATGTTTATAAGATATCTCTTGTAGACAAAAGATTAATTATACTCAGGGACTTCCCAATTAAACAAATTATTTAGTGAATCCTTGTTTAAAATATAGCAGTCCTGGAATCACAGAATGTTAGTATTAATGGTACAGAAGGGCACAAAAGATTCACAAAAAGCCCAGACTCTGGTACTGGGTGAGACAGAGGTCACAAAGAAATTATGGAGTTTCAGAGGGAGATGAGATTTAGTTTTAAAATGTGGGCTTGGGGGATGGGGTTAGCAGAAAGACACACTGTTTTTGCAGCGGCTAGATTTTTTACTAAACTAAGAGAGGAAGCAAACAATATATTCAAGAAAGGATATGGTGAAAGGGTAAAAGGTGGCCAGGGTGTAAAAACAGAAAGAAGAAGAGGGGTGATAAACAGCCTTGGCTTCTGTGCTGCAAGACCCTGGCAACTCCTGGCAGCCCAGGTAGGTCCTTCTGTGGTTCTGAGAAACACCTTTTTTATCTGATTTTTTTTTCCTTCATTTGTAACTATTGCACATAATTAGCTAGAGAAATGGGAGGTGAGAAAGATTCAAGATCTTTTTGGAATGTGGGGCTGTGCATAGCAAAGTGGGGAGGTCAGGGTCAACTCCTCTCCAAAGCCTGCAGGGATTAGGGTTTGCTTTGTTTTGATTTAGGCACCTTTAAGGGATAACAAAGGGGATATGTATGACATAAAAGAAGAATTTCCCCTCAAAGAGGGTCAACCCAAACTCAGGAGAGAAATTCAGATTGGCACAAAGTCAAAATTCCTACATGAGTGGTTGCTATTTAATGCAGTGCTGTCTTCAAGGTTAAGAGCTTTTTGTAAGCAGTTTGGGGAGTTTTCTATTTGAACAAATAATTTCCTAAAACTGAATACTCCAAAAGCATAAGAATCATTTAGAAACGATCTAGGAGTCTTACTCTTTATCCCACA